TTAAGTCTTTCTCCTCTCTGACATGGACGCCTAAAATGAGTTTATTGATTCCTAATTACATAACCAAACATGGCTGTTGATTCTTAGACTGATCAGCAAAAATGCCTCGTTTCTGCGATGTTCGTTGCACTCTCAGGGTGTTAATCACTTGCTATAAGACACTGGTGATAACCGGAACATGGATTACAGAAGAAATAACTCATCTTTCTTTGAGAGCAAGTGTACCCCATTTTTGAACTGATGTTTCACAAATTTGGCAACCAGAACTGACATCTTTTTCATAATCTCCAGCTAAAAGAGAGCATACGTGTCTGGACATAAATATGGCCATTCCTTGATGACGTTGTCTCACAGTGTCTAGAAAGTCGGGTTCGAACTCCGAAGATGTATGGTGTGATTATGCTCGAATGTGATCTTTGTCTTAACCAAGAGCTCCATTGAACAAAGAATTTCCCACATGTTGCTTCAGACCGGAGTTGCTAAGTCAATGAAGTGTCTGACTCAGAACCGAGAGCCCCGGTGGCCTTTCTTCCTTCTGGGATGGATAGATGAGTATCACTGAGGGAATAAACAAAAGACTACACACTCTGTTTGCCACATAGCTGCTGTCAACTCTGCCTTTATAATAAAGCAATCCCGGCTGATGATATGGAAATTGAGATTATCTCATTTACTTCATGAAGAAAAGGTGCCAGAAGAGTTCCGTCAAGAAAGTGTAAGGAAGGTTGACATTCCAACGGTTGCAATCTTCCCTTTTTCTTCTTTAACCGTCTTGTTGCTTAATCGTTATTATGTACCGAAGACACCTCCGTTGGATCTGTTCATTCGCTATTATTGACGGCCATTCTGTGGCGACCGCTTATATCAAGGAGTAAAGGCAAACTGAGGGGACGATTTGTTTACAGTCTTCATTGCCAAAAATGGCACATGGACGCCAAGCGCTGTTTAATAAGCGACTTCAATCAGTTAAGATTAGCATCGTTTATCCAAATCGCTGGACTAAAATGCTTACCACTCAGGGTACCAAATTCCCGTCGAAACGGCCACCAGAACTGCCCAACCAACGTACAAAGTCTT